GTAGTTCATAACAACTTTGTGGAGCCCAGGCAAGTTTGAATTAGGGAGCCTCGTGTACAGTGTTAATTTCAAACATTTTTGGACTTCGAACTCACATTTGAGTTATAAATAAACACTTGGCTTTATTTCCATCATTTTAGTTGAATTTGAGGAAATATTTGAGGAAAATGATGGAAATAAAGCCAAGTGTTTATTTATAACTCAAATGTGAGTTTCAAGTCCAATATCTTCGCAAAACACGGTTTCGAAAACACATTCAAACATTTTTCTTCTTGTATTTTAGGGGAAATATTTGCTTATAAAAGATTGGTTTGAGGCCTATCTAATCAGTGCCGTATTTAGAACGTAAGGGGCCCTGGGCCAGGACCGAGATGGGGCCCCCTTAATGAAACAGAAACAATAGTATATTACAGACCTAGGGATGCATTATTTGTTTCTTCCCGTGGAGTATATACGATTTTTCACCTCCCTCGGCCAGGAAGTTTTTCTGCGCAGCAGGAAGAAAGTACCGTTTTCAGCCGAGGTGTGGCGAATAAGAAGTATCAAAAATTTTGTATCTTTGCTTAGTTTTAAGATCATTTTTAACTACGTATAGGAGAAATAAAGTATTTGATATTTTTAATTTGTTATTTTAATTAACCTTTTTTTATATTTGTAACTTTATTACTTTCGAGGCCTCCTACAGCCTGGGGGTCCTGGGCCAGGGCTCTCTTAGGATAACCTCAAATTGATTAGATTATCTAATCAATTTGAGGTTATCCTGAGAGCAAAAAAGGATTTCATTTTTTGCCCTTAGGATAACGCGCCACTGGTGAGCAAGCTACACCAGAAAAAGTTATATATAAGCTTTACAACAGCTGGCTTTGTGCTTTGTGTTAGCTTACGATAAAATTCAGAATGATTCGGCTGCAATCTTAAAAAATTGTAGACCTATAAATTTTCACTGTCGTTTGTCTGGCTGCCCTTCCTTATTCTTGAGAACGGAGTTAGATGCATGAAAGTCTAGACCAGATATGGAGGCCTCGATTAACCAGACATGAACTTCAGAACTGGAAGTCACATTATTTCGATTGAAAAATTTCCCCCGAAAGGAGTTAGATGACCGGCACGACTCCATTGCTAATGGAAAACTATGACGGGAGCAAGACACTACTAATTTGAGGTGGAGAGCATATATTAAATTAAATCAAAAGTATGATTAAAAATTACAGCCTGGAATGTCACAATAAATAATTGCTCGTTATATACCTATATAACGAGCAATACCTAGCATCTTAATGTGTTGAACGCGTAATTTATTACATAGCTAAATTTTTAGCCAGAAAAATTTGTGCAACTATAAGATGTGATAAACGTAAATCTGGTCTAGTGGCCGATAGCCCAATTTTAAATTCGCTAACTGCTCATAAAAATAGGGAAAATTTAATCTGTCCCTACAAAAAACGTATTTGTAAAGATGTGATTGTTCAGAGTTGCAAACAGAAAATGGTGGAGAAAAGCTGAGACAGATATTTTGAATATCTGTTATGGGAACAAAGGTCTTGCTTAGTATCTAATCTCTCTGCGCCACTTAAGATACACATGCATGATACATCACCATTACAGAACCATGCTATATTCTTACCAAGTGTTGTAATCTAAAGCGACCATCCTAATAATAATATCGCAAATGGGGAGCGCGAGGCTCCCCATTTGCGATATTATTATTAGGGAGACAAAAAATCACATTCATACAGACATAAATTTACGAAACCTATTTTGTGTAATGGTCCTGGCTGTTATGTATACATAACGAGCAATTATGTATTGCGACATCGTCACAATGTTCTCAATTTTAGTAGTCTTGCTCCCGTGCATTATACTTTTCCTGTTAACAATCGAGTGTAACAGTCATCCGTCTAACTCCATTCAGGAAAATTTTTGAATTGAAATAATGTGATTTCCGGTTTATACCGGAAGTGTGTATCTTGTTAATCGGGCCTCCTGCCCCTAAGCTTTCCATAAAAACAGACGGTTGCCAGTGGGATTTATAGATCTACAATTCTTAAAAATTTCAGACGAACAAAGTAAAAGGGGGAAATTCCGTGCGTGTATGCGTTGGTGTCCATTTCGTTTAATATTGCAGGATGGGTTAACAATCATCTTTAACTCATTCTGCAATATTAGAAACGAAATTTGGCACGGCAACTTATATATAAGGGGCATCGATGATAACTTTAGGTGGCTAAAGGTCGAAGGGGTGAGAAAATAGAGGGGGGTCACGTGTACTATCTCGAATAGGATCGGACTTAATGAAAATTTTAATCGTTACTGACATTTACAATATTTTTAAAAACTCATCTTTACTCATCGAAAAAGCAAAAGGCTTAATTTTGAAGGTAAACTTCAAAATTAAGCCTTTTGCTTTTTTGTTATAATTAATGATAGGATATATTATTAAAAAAAAACTTTATGACAGGTGGCACCATACACAATTTTATTTATTACAATTAATAATATAAAAGTTATTTTTAATAAAAGTAACAGCCGGAAAAGTTAGGCAACTCGTTGCTGGATTTTTTAAATATATTTTTTAATAGAGAAATCGTAATTCGACAAAATAACGCTTCTCGAGCTTTATTATTGTATTGTTTTTAGTCATTTTAAGGTGTTTAATCAATATATATAATAAAGGTAAGTGTACAATGTGCGTGCCGCTAAAACTCAAAAACGAGTCCCGATACGATCAAGGGAGTTATATGATGTGGTAGCCCTCTATCCCCCATCCATGAAGAGGGTTCCCGTTTTTACCCGAAGGGCGTGCTGTTGAAGATATAAGGGCTGGAAGCTTCGTCCTCTAGAAATTTCTAGAACAGTCCAGAACATTCGAGAGCATTCCAGAATGTTCCGGGATGTTCGGGAACATACTGGAACATTCCAGAACACACTCGAATGTTGTGGAATGTTCTGGAACATTGTGGACCATTCGAAGCCTTTTTTGTATGGGTGGGACTACCCATCGGTGGGGGTATATAAAGCAAGATCCGTCGTAGGTTCGAACGTCAGTTTCTTATCAGTGACGAAGGGAAGAACCGAAAAAGAAGTGAAAATTCCAAAGTAGTGCAGCGAGTGAATAAAAACAAACAGTGAAGTGTGAGTAGTCAAAGTGATACAGTGACTGAATATAAATCGAAAATAAAGTGTGAAAACTGTGTAAAGTGTACTTAGTATATTTTTTAATAAAAAGTTGCTTTGATTTATATTTTATACAATGCTCAAACTTAATAGAGGAAGAGCTCTTACCAGTTCTGAATTTTCTTTTGAATATTAAAGTCGATATCGTCGACAATATTATTTTTAGTTGCGAAAATTGCCCTTTGAAATAGTTACTCCGGATTGGTATAGTTGCGAACAATGTTTGGATAAATTTGGTCGATGAGTTCGTTTTCACTAGTGGCTATGTTGCAAAAATCACTGTCCAGTTCAATGAGGCAGGTCGTCTGGTTAGTGGGATATGTGCCTTCGCCTATTCGTAAAAGTTTTTGAGCAAAATGTTGTTTATAAACAAGTATTGTAAATAGTTAGAATATGTTTTTAATAAAATTTTTTTACCTCATAATTTAAAGTTTATCCGTCTATTCCAACTACCACACAATCTCATATCAACTCTCTGAGCGAAGCCGGGTACACCAGCTAGTGTTAAATAAATTGGAAAATGCACGTTTTTATAAAATGGCATTAAAAAGTTAACGTTTTATTAAAACAGGAAAACTTGTTACCAAATATTCATAATTATATGAGTCGAGCTCAGTGGCTCACTTAGAATTTAATCTTCAGAGGAGCCCAGTTGAACGGATAAAAATATTTTTAATGCGAATTTACTAAAATTCTTGCCTTATGTTGCCGTTAGTTCATAAGTAGTATAGAAATAGAAAACACGACGCAATATAAATAAAAAAGAAATCAAACGAATTTTAATTAAAAAACGATTTTTGGAAAATTTTTTCTTTGTTGGGAACGTCAGTATCCCTCTGCCTCCTCCCGAGTGCTCTACTTGTCCAGCCGCTTATCTTCGCGGTGCCTACGAGACCGAGTGAGAGTCGTTTTTATTATTATGACAAAATAAATGTTTAACTCGGCTACAAGCTTCTGTAATAAGATATATGAAAACAAATAAACAAAACAGAAAATTGGGGGTGCAATTATAATTAGAGATCGTCTGTCTCGCTATAGTGTTTCTTATCATTAAAAATGTTTAATTTGTTGACTCCTCTTCCAACTAAATATTAAGCAAGCGGGTGCGAATATTTTTTCATTTCGAATCAAATTCAAATTCGAATAATTACAATATAAGCACAAAACTTGCCTCGTGGTATTATCTAACATTTCCGCCAATTCCCGGCGATTTTAATTATTAATTATACTGCCTCGTATAAATTAAAAAAAAAAAAAATATGGCCCACCAGTGGCCGAGCGATTCCGTTCCCTGAAGACAGAGTTCGGTCGGGGATTCGCGCCTTACCAGGACGGGCTAGCCACGTAGAGTTTTCCGGGTTTTCTCCACGTCCGTAACGCCTAAATAGAGGCCAGTTTCTCGTAGAAGTTCTCTCGGGAAACGTTTCTCTCGGTACACGGCCCAGGTGTCGCGTTGCCGTTTATGAACCAAACCGAACCGCACCAAATGCATAATTTACGAAATCTCGGAGAAGTACTGTATATTACGTAGTAATGTAAACTATTAGATAAAAGTAGGAAGTAACGAATATTTTTCCAAAATAATTAAATTAGACTTTTTAAAAATTGTAGTACATTCGTTTATAATTGTGTATTTAAAAAAAAATGCCGAATTGGAGGCTTTTCTCGAAGTTTCACCAGCAAACGACGAAAACCTCCGTACGAACGGTACATAAAAATGTAAACAAAAGTGAAAGACCACCTGGCAACTTTGCACGCGTCATTCCAGACGAAAATACGCTAGAGGGCACTCTTCAGCGGTATGTTCGACGGACGTACGGAGCGTGATCTGTAAGATATTTCCAGGTTAGTTAAAAGAATTTCTACCTATTTTCGACCTTAAATAATTTTTATATCTACACGTGACGATATTTTAACGAATTTCGGTGGTGTATCTTAAGCGTAAAGTTTTAAATAAAGGAATTACGTGTGAGTGACCTACTTGCAAACTTTGCAGAAGTTTCAAGATTTCGCCTGTCGACTGACGACGTGTTTACCTCTGCATTTCTTACTGTACTCGGGAATGCCATTATTTTTTACGACAAAGATGTTTCGTGAGATTGGTGGAATCGGAAGCATTTTGTATCTCGTTCTTCGCTACTTCAAAGCAGTGTTCTATAAATGAATATTTGTTAGTAGACTTTACCCTTAGACTTTAACCTTTATGGTTTATGCCGCTAACTACGGTTTTGAATCGAGCACAACACTAGAGAGATAAGGTCTTTCTTCAAAACCCGTAAAATTATAGTTTTTCTTTAACAAAAGTAACAAAATGCACAAATATTTTACGCTTTGTCAGAAAACTACTTCGGACCCGTTTTATCTCGTGGTTACAAACGGATTAAATTTTATCCGTTTGCCTAGAATTCGGTTTTTCAGAATGTCCGACGAGCTTAACCTTTATTGAGAACTAGCGGATGAGCCCGGCGTTGCTCGGGCGAGTAAGTTAATTCTCGTTATAATGGAGAATTAACTTACTTGACGATAACCTCGTTTGAATAAAATGATTGATTTTAAATTCTAAAATCTAAAAAACTTGTTTGGAATGTTATATTTCGAATTTTTCAAATTTGGAACGAATTCAAATATTTGTTCGAATTCGTTTATTTTGGATTTATTGTTTTTGGGTTACCCGAAGAGTGAAAATGATCAAAATATTAATTTCCAAAATGTGCACTATATGTGCCACTATTTACTTTTTTTTCTTTATCATTTACACTTTATACTGACTAAAACTAACTCTTTCCTTTGTCTTTCCTCGTTCCTTGGGCGGTTGAATTTCCAAAAATCTCTTAATGTGATTTTGTGGCATACTTTACGAAAATGCAAAAACCACATTTAAAATAGTATAGTAGAATCGCAAGTTTTTTCGGGGTAATACTGCTGCGGGGCTTTCCTCCCGCCAGGGAGAGAGATGGGATTAACCCCCTCTCTCCCGCGAGAGGAAATTTCGAAAAATCCCTTTTTCTATGTACGTTCTCGTGACATACCCTACTAAAATGTGGTTAAAAATAAAAAGTTGCATCTAAAATAGTACAGTAGAAGCAGAGTTTTTTAGGATAAGTCTTAATTCTCTCCCTCTCCTCCGAGGGGGGAAAATTTTGAAAAATCTCTTCTTAGTGTACGTTCTCGTGATGTACCCTAACTGTGTACCAAATTTCGACTATCGACTCCTAACCGTTTTGGCTCTGCACTTATTATTATTGTTATCAATTCATCTCGATTATATAATAAGATTAACTATATATAAATTTTGAATGTTTGAATGATGGTTTTACTTAAATTTTTTGTAATCACGATTACGGTGGTTGGATGTTTTGTGTCGGGTTTGAGTTGTCGACTCGACGGACGAAGAATTGCCGGGACGGACTGTTTGGTACGCGTAAACTCGATTTTTGTCGGTGCCTTCGACGTCGGGGAAGGAGGAAATGCCAGAATAAATGTGATGTCGGCAATTTTATGAGACCCCCTGGGAATCTTGTCGGTGGTTCTGGAGATTTAAATATTGCGTTTTCCGACGCCATTTGAAAGACAAATTCATTACTCTTGCTCTCCTAAATGATATAATTAAGGGATATTTTGTGACGTGCGGTTATGATGTTTTTGGCCATAAACGTTAATTGTGTTTAATTTAAAGTCGTTTTTAAATGACCACCTTGTTTTGAAATGCGGGTAAAAGGTAAAAGTAATTATTTTTTATAATCGATTATGATCGTCACCAATAGCTTGTGGTGCTATAAAATTTGTTGTCGTGTGATAAGTTAATAAATGTTTAAAATTAATTAGTTTTGGGCAAGCGGATGACAATCAGAATGAGATACGCTTGTTATCTTGGCATTTTTTTTCAAGCTATTAATGATGCATGGAAATTAAGTTTAATGCTTAAGTTGAAGTAGAATAGACCTTTACGCTATATTAGTTTTAGAATGTTTATAGTAAAATGTAAGTATATTAATTTTATCTAGCAGCTCTTAGTCTCTCGTTTGTTGATTACCGATAATGTACCTATGACTGAATTCGTGTGAGTTTTTAGGAAAGCAATTTGAATTAGAAAACTATCCAAAAATCTTTATTAAGAAGCAAATATTTGTCTGTAAATATGTATAAAATTTGAGAGAATGGAAAGATTTCTGGATAGATTTTTAGGATTATTACTTCCCTGGCATATATGTAACAGAAGAAAAGTATGGCGATTGGTCAAAAAATGACCCCTCCAGATTTTTAAATTTTTGGACTCGGGGGACCTTAAAACATAAAGAAATGCAAAAAATTTCTGGAGATATTTCTGTATGCATGGATGTTTGGCACAGTTTTGTTCATTATTTTTGGAGCTTAATAACTGCTGTGCTTTTTGTTGAAAATTTCTGTTTATTGGGGATCGATGATATTAAATTTTGATGATTAAAGATCGAGGGGAAGATAAAGGGAATGGCATGTATCTCCGGTAGGGTCAGACTTAATGACAATTTTACTGGTTATTAGCACTTACAAGTTTTTATAAAACCCATCCCTACCCTCGAAATTAAGCTTTTTGCCATTTTATAATAGTTAAAAATATAAAAAATTTTAAAAATGAAATATAACAAATGGTGTTATCAAATGTTACTGGGAAAGTTGAACAACTCATTGCTAGATTGTTTTAAATTGTTGCATTATATTTAATCATTAAAACAGATGGCCTAATTCTTAGTGATTGTTCTCACAGAAGAAATAAATTGTAAAACTTGCTTATTTTCTAAAATAAATTTAACTTTTGGACAGTTTAATCTAGACACTTTCTGTATTTGTGATTGAAATTTTGTAAAAAAAGAAAATGCTGGGTAGTTTTTCTTAATATTTTATACATTAGCAAGATTTTAATCTATATACGGTTGATCCCCCTATAAGATGGTAGATACGTTCCGTTCTTTATGAATCAATTTTGTAGGAATCACAGCCCGACATGTGTGAAGTTTACGGACTACGGCTGTTTGAAAGGTTTTCTTCCATAAAATTAATCGATTCTAGACTAATCCGACTCAACATTTCCAAAATNAAAAAAAAAACTTATAAATTTTCATAATAAGTCTTCAAAAAACAAAAATGATCGATACTTTGATCACTCAAGCTAGTTCTCAATTTGGTCACAAAAAGACCCGCAGCTGAAAATGCCCTTTCAGACTCTATTGAGGTGGGTGGGATGCTTTTCAAAGCTCTCAAAAGAAGAGAAATTTTCTGAGATTTTATGCCTGTTTTTTTTTAAGATTGCTAACTCAGTTTCTAACTCTCTCCAGCACTTAATTCTTTGTTTATTGCTCTCTGCTCTTGTCGTATTCTTGATCTCTCGGATGCTTCAAGATATGCATTTAGCTTGTCCGCTAAAGTCATTTCATTCGGTAGTGTGAGAGTCTGTGATTCTTCTACATATTTGAGTTCATTACCTTCACTAGAATCAGAAATAGCAGGTTTTCCAAAAAGGCGATCAAACATTTGTTTTGCTGATGAAATTATAATTGCCTCAAATTGTTGGAATGCGCTGTCACTCTCAAACTTATTTGTTTTCACCAGTGAGGTAAAGTAACAGTCCCATCAATTTTTTGTTTCTTCTCTCTTTTACATGGAGAACAAAATATTCATGTACTTTTTTAGAAAAAGCAGTGTTCAATTGTTTCAGTTCATTCAAAACGAAAGAGGTAATATCCTCTGCTGAAAGTAGAGTAGATTTTCTTCTGCTTAGCTTTTCAACAGCTAGTTTTAAGGGTTCTAGCGATGTCACGAATTACATCGATTTCTTGTTTTTCAAGGCTAAGAGTATTATTTTTATCTTTTTTGAGATCAATGAGATGGTCTTATCTTGATATACCGTTCTAGCATAGATAAAAGACTGTTCCATCTGGTTTTTGAATCCAACATTAAATGTAAGGGTTTTCCATGATCCTGTTTAACGTATTCTTGTAACGCATTATTTTTCACAGGTGACTTACGAAAGGTTTTAGCTATCTTTCTGACTTTATTGATGATTTGAGAGATGTCGATTTCATACAATTCAGATGCTATATCTGTTTCAAATAGATTTTCATTAGAGTGTTCATATTCTGAAATAAAATTTTTAACCTCAATACCTTGAGTGAAATCTTCTTCACTTTCATCAATGTTATACTCATCTCTTTGGTGATCTACTTCTGGCTGGTTTTCATCAATAAAGAGGATTGTAAGGTGGGTAGATGATTTCTGATACAAAGCATCACACACTGCTAAGTAGATTCCATGTGCATAACACAATTGGTGCTCACATTCAATTAATTTTCCCATTTTTTTCATCACAGCTGCACCATCAGTTACACAAGCCACCACGTGTTTTTCCAAAGAAATATGAAATTTGGCTAACTTTTTTTGACCACATTAACAGCAACTTCAGTAGATAGAGAACCAGAAATCCTTACCATTCCTAAATTCCAAAATTATCCTTCCCCTATGTGTACATTAATATTCATATATCGGCGATTGTTTAGAGAGGAGTACTCGTCTAATGATATACTAAACCTTTTTCCTGGAGTTATTTTCTCCACAATTTTAGAAATCAAACTTTCTTTTATCTGTCTGTATTGTGAATGAACCAGATCTATGACACGAGTTGGATTTGTTGGCAAAGTATACTCTTTCTCTGTCAAAGATTGCTTAATATATTCACTTTTTGCAATAGAATTAATAGCTATGTTACCGCTAAAGCTCGAAATCCGTTAATGTGTACATTACCTAGCTAATCTGCAGATTAACTAGGGTGATCCGTTAAAGCTGCGAAAATTGTTCAATTTCTCAAATTACCT